AGCCATTGCGATTCGCAAACAACCGTGGATAACGAGGACGCACTTTGCCCGCGAGGAAACACGTCCTTTTGCTTCACCCACGCTTTCTTTCACTACCCTCCATCGCTTTTGTGCGCCAGTCTTCCCAAAGTACTATATATCCACGACCAAAAGTGATCTGTTTGCATCGGATGGCCAAAACAAGTTTATGTATATACATGGTGACAAGGGCAGATCAAAACAGAGATTTCGATATGAGGATCTGCAGAGAACTTCTAATAAGTATGCCGAACCCCCGAACCCGGGTCCTGCATTGTGCATTACCAGCCATCCGAGGACGAAGTAAAAGAGGACAATAGGGTATACAGCGAGAGCGCGTCGTTTATCGAGGTTAAGATCCGCAAGGAATCCAATTGATGCTGCAGAGGGCACAGAGTTGTAAGTTCAGACACGGGATACACGGTGCAATCATGCGTGACGAGTTTGCGTACCATACACGGCCCATGCGAAGCCAACCCCAACTACAATGATCCGGACAAAAACTAACGGGATGAACGTGCACACCAGCGACGCAATGACTAACGGAAAGAGACAATAGCCAATTGCACACACGGACTGGAAGAATGAACTAAAACGCGCGGATATGATGAGCAGATGTCAGGGTGGTAGGAAAGCAATTAGTGAGGTCTTACACTGTGCCGCCCAGTAGCTTGGAGTTCAGGGTAACTGCTCCAGCGCCAGCCCATACAATGACAAAAATGGCGGTGAAGACGGCCGGCGCCTGTCCATCCTCTGCGGTCAGCGACAGGCGACTGGATAAACAAGAAGGAGGCAATTAATTATCAACCTTTACAGAATAGATTTTCCTCACATCGATGTTGCAGACGCACAGCGAGAGAACCAAACACAGCAAGAGCGGGCCCCACAAGTCCCAATCTTTCAAAATGTTAGATTTGTTGTCTTTTCGCGGGTACAGCACTTGCTGTAGCTTGGCCCAGATGCTCAACAGATCGCGTTTCTGGAAACGCATTTCGAATCATAATCAGCACAGCCAATCCTCTCTGTCGGTCGAACCATGATGCGCGCCGCAGACACGCACCACAGTATGCCACACTGGCTCGTCGAGGGTATCAAGGGCAGGCTTGCCGCCAATGCCTCCTCCGCTCGCACCGCCGCCCATATGGCCAGCCACCATTGGTGTGACGGGGATTGTGACTGACGAGAGGTCTCCCAGCGGCTGGTGCTGCGATTGGCCGGGCGTTTCGAACGGCGCATCGTCAAAAGATGGGTTGAAGTCGTAAGGCGAGTAGTTGGGGGCCGGCCGGGCAGCGCTGCCTGTGCCGGTGCCCGGTGTGGCTGCGCGGTTGTGGGAAGCAAAAAGTCGTTGTCTGAGCACGCTGGCACCACTACCGTTGTTACTTTTAGCGCCTGGCGGTGCGGTTGCTGATTAATACCTTGCGTGCCGTAGGACATGAGGCGAAACCGTGGACTGGCGTGGGACTGGTGATGGGGGCCGGGGGGGTTATAACAGAGCCGCTAAGTTAAAGCGAATTGTGAATGGGGCGCGTGTACTCACAGCCTCCTTTTGCCCGTTCGCACGCACGCAGGCTGTGTGTGTCTGTCTGTCTGTCTGTCTGTCTGTCCGTCGCTACTATCTCTGTCTTGACATAACATAAAAAGCCCCGTCTCTCTTCCCACCAACAGTACGTTACTTCCCTCCGTTAGCCCTCTGTTGCTTTGTTTTCTCGCATTTCTGGTTCTTGGCCGTTTGCCCCATCTCTCCCATCGCTCCGCCCATCTCGCCGCCTGCCGCACGCGTCATAAAAAAAGAAAAAACCACTCACTCTCGCATCTTGCTTTTCATCTTTCCTCTCCTCCGCCTTCAACCGTCCGTCTTCTCTCTCTGCGATCCTCTCCTCCGTCGTCTTCTCTGTCCTTGCTTCCGCCCGTACTCCGCCTCCAGCGACAAGCCCCGTTTTCCCAATCTCCGCTCGGTTTCCACAATGTGCGGAATCTTTGGATATGTCAACTACTTGGTCGAGCGCGACCGCCGCTTTGTCCTGGATACCCTGCTGACGGGCCTCTCGCGCCTCGAGTACCGCGGTTACGACTCGGCCGGTGAGTTGCGGCTGCACGGCATGGCGGAGTTGTGTGGCGCGAACAACGGGCGTGGCTGCGAGCAGCACAGGGCATGTTCCGCTGCGCGCGCGCCCTGCCTGTTGCATCGTCGATGTTACAAATGTCGGAACTGTCGTCGTTGAAGCTCAGGGCGAGCTATTGACGGCGGGCCGCTAAAAGTCCTGCTGCGCGCGCAAAAGCTCGCCCCTCCATATTGCGGATAGCAAAATACTCACACCGCCACTTCTTTCTTTCACTCAGGTCTTGTTGTTGATGGCGACAAGGAGGGCGAGTCTTTCATCTTCCGCCAGGTTGGCAAGGTTGCTGCTCTGCGCGAAAAGATCGCCCAGGAGAAGGGCCTCGAGACCACTCGCACTTTTGTCTCGCACTGCGGCATGGCGCACACCCGATGGTGAGTGCTTTAAGGGACAAGAAATGTCGCAGTGTGTTTGGCGCTCAACTGACGCAATACCTTTTTTTCTAGGGCCACTCACGGCATTCCATCCGTGCGCAACTGCCACCCGCACCGCTCGGATGTCAAGAACGAGTTCACGGTCGTGCACAACGGTATCATCACCAACTACAAGGAGCTCCGCACCATTCTTGAAAAGTTCGGCTTTGTGTTTGAGAGCGACACGGACACCGAGTGCGTTGCCAAGCTGTGCAAGTACATCTATGACACACAAAAGACCACCATGGGCTCGACTTTGACTTTTACCGGTCTCGTCAAGGCGGTGTGCAAAGAACTGGTATGCTGAGCAGAAACTTTAGGCTGATGCGATCTAGCCTCGGCGAGCCTGTGGACTCAAATTTTGTTTTGCTTTTGTCCTACAGGACGGAGCATTCGCGCTTTTCTTCAAGAGCGCTCACTTCCCCGGAGAGCTCGTGGCCGCGCGCCGTGGATCTCCGCTCTTGATCGGTGTCAAGACCGCAAAGAAGCTGAAGGTCGACTTTGTGGATGTTGACGTTGAGGTGCCTCCCGAAGACGACTCGACCTTGCTCCAGCCTGACCGTCCCAAGATTCGCCGCACCCAGTCGCGGAGCTTCTTTGGCGAGGAAGGTGTACCCATGCCCGTCGAATACATCCTTGCCTCGGATGCGTCCGCGATTATTGAGCACACCAAAAAGGTGCTTTACCTTGAGGATGACGACGTTGCTCACATCAGCGACGGCGATCTTCACATCCACCGCTTGCGCCGCGACGACCACATGTCATCTGTTCGCCCCATCCAGACTCTGGAGCAAGAGCTTGCGCAGATCCAAAAGGGTGCCTTCTCGCACTTTATGCTCAAGGAGATTCACGAGCAGGTCGAGTCGGTCGTTAACACCATGCGCGGTCGCATCAACTTTGACGACCGCCGCGTTGTTCTCGGCGGTTTGCGCTCGCAGCTCGCCAACATCCGCCGGTCCCGCCGCCTGATCTTTATTGCGTGCGGAACGAGTTACCACTCGTGTGTGGCGACCCGCGCGCTGTTTGCCGAGCTCACTGAGCTGCCCGTGTCGGTTGAGCTAGCGTCCACCTTCCTGGACGAGCAGATGCCCGTGTTCCGCGACGACTGCTGCCTGTATGTCTCGCAGTCGGGTGAGACCAAGGACACGTTGTTGGCTTTGCAGTACTGCAAGGAGCGCGGCGCTCTGTGCCTTGGTGTCACCAACACTGTCGGATCCACCATTTCGCGTGAAACCCACTGCGGTGTGCACATCAACGCCGGCCCCGAGATTAGCGTTGCCAGTACAAAGGTAAGATTGTCAAAATGAGCGTGACAGAGATGAAATTTGAAGCTAAATTTGCATCGATACTGACTATTCTTGTCCAAATCATTCGCTCCGCTTGTACAGGCCTATACGTCTCAGTTCATCGCGCTGACAATGATTGCGCTGCAGCTCTCGGACGACAACTACGCCAAGCTCCCCCGTCGCAATGAGGTCATTGACGGTCTGTTCAACCTGTCCAACGACATCAAAAAGACACTCGCTTTGGAGCCGCAACTCAAGACTCTGTCCAAGGAGGAGTTTGGCACAGACAAGTCGGCCAACCTCATCCTTATCGGACGTGGATTCCAGACCGCGACCGTTCTGGAGGGCGCGCTCAAGATCAAGGAGGTTTCGTACATTCACGCCGAGGGTATCAACGCAGGAGAACTCAAGCACGGCCCGCTTGCGCTGATTGATGAAAAGATGCCAATCATCATGGTCATGCCCAAGGACCGCCACTACTCGGTTCGTCCACTCACTCGTTGTTCCCACACTAAGAAATCTTTCCAACATCCTGACGTTCTGCCTTTCTTTTATTTAGGACTCTGAAAATGCGCTTAAGCAGATCACCGCGCGCTACGGCAAGCCCGTCGTCATTTGCAACGACGACGACGATTCGAGCAACTTCAGCGGACTCAAGACGATCCGGGTCCCGCGCACCGTCGACGCACTGCAGGCCATCATCAATGTCGTGCCGCTGCAGATTCTCTCGTACTTTATGGCGACAGACCGGTCGTTTGACCCAGACTCGCCTCGCAACTTGGCGAAATCGGTCACCACGGCTTAGAGTGGTCATCAAACGAAAAGTAAAAAGTAGGATGCGAGCAGGGAAAGAACCCTTAGTGGGAGGGATCTGCTTGGTACTTTGAAAAGCCTTTCTATCCATGTGTTCCTTTTTTTGGGACTTTCTTTCGTAACATATTACGGGAGAGAATATAAAGCCCGACATAATAATAAAGGATTTTTCCCCAACCCCACCTGAGCCGCTTTCGAACATCCCACTTAATAATAACCTGCCTGCGTGGCGTTCGAATATCTTTTCATGGGACATTGTCGTAACCTCCGCCGGGAATTTTACGTGATATACTAAATTTTTGATAACCCCCCATCAAAAACCTCTTATCTTAAATGTAATGACTGATAACCAAGCTCCTGTGGCTCAGCTGGTAGAGCGTGTGGCTGTTAACCACAAGGTCCGCAGTTCAAACCTGCGCGGGAGCGAATAACTTTTTAACTTTTTTGATGCGCGTCACTTTCATAGAAACGGCGCTCTCGCTCTCTCTATCTTTTTCGCTCGCTCGCCGCTCGTGATCTTACGAATAATGCTCGCCGCGAGCGCCACCAAAAATGAGCTGCCAGACCTCTCATCCGCGGAAGCCAAGATAGCTCTCATCGGGAACGAGGCCGTCGGTAAAACGGCGCTTGTAAGGGTCCTACTTGGGCTTTCCTTTCCGACGACCCACTCGGCCACGTTCGAAGACGAATTTCGATGGCCTGCCGGGCCAACGCCGCTCGTAATATTCGATATGGCGGGCGCCGCTGCGTACGACCGTCTGCGGCCGTTTTCCTACCCGGGTATTCCGGCATTCCTAATATGCTTCGCGGTCGACGAGCGCCGCTCGTTCCGCGACGTAGAGGACAAGTGGGTGCCCGAGCTGCAATATTATGTCCCTGGCGTGCGCATCCACCTTGCTGCGCTAAAGACGGATCTAAGGGATGATCCGGAGACGGCGGCGCGAATGCTGGGCAATGCGGAGGAGGCGGTTAGTGAGGATGAGGGACGAGAGATGGCGGCGAGGATTGGCGCGGTCGGATACTCCGAGTGTAGCGCGTTGAGGAATGAAGGAGTGCGGGAGTTAATTGAGGAGGTGTTGAGGAGGGAGACGACGCCCATGCATAAGCTTCAGCAAGACGGATCGCAGGAGCTTTCGCCAGATCCACAGACAGCGTCTGAGGCATCGGACAGTACTGATACTCGCGATCCAGGAACAGTACGAGCAGCAGCTAGTGGCTCGCCAGGCGTGAAGCTAAAAGCTGGCACTGTGCCTAACGTCACCCGCAAACCGTCACTCACGACCTCGCGTGTAAATGCGTCAAAGACGCGCCCCTCGCCTTCACCGTCAGCACCTGCACGACGACCTTCAACAACCTCACTCTCCCGCCGTACCTCCGTTTCAACCCTTCGCACACCCGATGCGATCCCCACCCCACCGACAACGCCAAAACTGTCTCACATTGAGATATCTGTAGCCCGCCGCCCGTCTGTCTCTAAAGGGAGCCCAAAAGTGCCTTCATCGCTGCAGCTGACGAATTCTCCAACCTCCTCGATACCCTCGTCCGCTCGTCAAGGAACCAGCACCGCCGCGCAGCTCACTTCGGGACACCCGACCGCGGGAGTGACTCGTCGCCCATCGACATCCCGCCTTGCAGCATCAGCGTCACCGTCGCCTACAACCGTGACTCGCCGACCATCATTAGGTACCGTCCGTCTGACGCCGGACGCTGCGGCCAGTCCAACGACGGCTCGCCGTACGGCGATTACGGCGACACCTGTCGGTGAGCACCGGCGCGGAAGCCTTCCGCCCCTCGTTGTCAAAAGCACTACCATCGCGGCACCTGCCGTCCATGCAATGAAATCGACACCAGGAAGCGCAACGGCCAGCAATACGGCAGCACCAGCCGCAGAGCCTGTCATTATGCCTATACGCCGAAATGGCGTCACATCGCCTGCATCCACTACGCCGAGCGGCGTTGCAGCAAAAACATCCACATTGGGCGCGTCGCCGTCTACGACAAGGCTCGCCGCGACGGCGCCATCGGCCGCGTCAAAGACAGCTGCAGCGACGAAGCCTCTGCCAGAGACACCAACCACGCCAACCGTTCGCAAACGCAATTCGATCTCTTCATTGTGGAAGCGCGATGCGGCTGGTGGTGCGGTGGCGGCAGGATCGGCGCCAGCGGACCACCAGCCGCGACCGGTGATGCGTTCCGCGTCGGTCAGAAGCACGGCAAAGACGCCGGCAGCGACCACGGTCGCCCCCGCGGCGGCGTTCAAGCCGGTGCCGCGCGTCGCGCAGCAGCCGTCCTCGCAGCCATCGCAGCAGCGCCCAGACACACTTTCGGGCGCAGGCACGCCCACCAAGGGCAAGGAGAAGGAGAAGAAACTTCCGGTATGGGAGCGGTTGGCGGGCTTGGCCAAGAAGAAGGTGGACAAGCAGCCTTCGGCTGCTACTACTGCTGCCACCGCCGGGTCTGCGCACCGGTCTTGGCATTAATGATTTTCAACGCTTCAAATATATGTATAGACCTTTGTAGTTAATTTTTGATTATGAAACAGCAAACTTCTGACCTGTACGCTCTTAAGCGGTTGATATTGTCCACGGCGCTGGGGCGTTCGATATTGGAGAGGGGATTTATCAATCCGTCCTGTCCATGCCCTTTGGAAACACGAACTTCAGAGCCTCGCATGCATCAAGATATCCGGATACGAAGACACTGCCTATGTCCTTTAATACCTCCAAGTCACTGCAGAGTTGCAAGAAAGGGGATCCCATGCCACCGCGGTGTGGGAGGCTCCTTGCGAACCCGTGGAAGTACAAGGTCGCAGAGAAGCGCATCGCCCGATGGAGTCAAGCCAGCATTCCAGGTCCATCTGCCAATCGTCCCTGCGCCGTCCGCGAATCCCCGCCACGGTGGTAAGCATGCGCCGGTTCGTGCATACGTTCGCGCGTGGCGATTTTGTGCGTGATCCCACTTGCGATCCCAATTTGAGCCGGATATTGCCCTTGCCTTTCGTCCTGAACACGCCTTTAAAGGCCAAGGCTCCTGTTTCAGCCTGAGCCTGGAAGGCGATGCGTCTCAGTTGTAACCAATCGGAATAAAGATGCCTCTCCGTGCGGAAACCGTTGTCGCAAAAATCCCAAGCGCTTGCACTGCTTCAACGCTGTCGACGTCATCGTCGAAGAATCGCACATTTTCTCGCGGGATATCAGGAAACGAGTTGCATATGCGCAGAACCATACTCGCTTTGTCCTCATCGTCAAATTCCAGCGCCGGGTCAGCAGCCAGTGGTCCCGTCCGCAGCTCCTGTGGACAGATTACTTGCGAGAACAAATGCCGGATGCCCATTGATGTAAGCACTCTGCAGGCATTGCGGTTGAACGAAGCGACCGCCAAAGTAGCGCCGTCATCCCTCAGGCGCTCCAAGTACGTTCGCAGCTTGGCCTCATATGCGGCACGCGCTGCAGGACCCAATTTCCAAAGATACAGCGTGTCGTCAAGATCAAAGATGAAAAGATGATGCTGTTTCGGCTGATTATGGCCTAGAGACATTCGAATTGAGTGCGGTACTCTGTTTTCAGCTGGAAAATCCCGGTCCTGTACAGGTGACAAAAAACAGCGGAACGGGGCGTGAGATTGATGACCACGCAGGCTGGCAGAGGAGGATAATGACTACGGTAGTTACCGCGTAATGAGCTAGGAATGCCTAGCGGCGTGGAGACTGGTGACCGCAAAGTGCGGGTCATCGACGTCTCGCGCTGCAGCCGTGAGACCATTACAAGCGTCTGAGAGCTATATCAAACTAACAGGTCTCCCATGTTGGCGTTCGGCTGCCGCGGGCTGTGCAGTGTATATGAACATATCCAGCCAGAGGCAGCAAATGGCACGGTCATCACTTGCGCATTTACAGATGGACCTTTTGGGAAACGATCCAGTCAAAAAGAGATACGGACGCTTTTCGACACGAAAGAGTATGAGTGTCGCCCGTCAGAAAGTTTTTAGTCATTTCGCCATTTTCGACAGCTCTTTGGCAGACGCATTACTGCCAGAGCTCTGTCATTTATGCGCTGAACGGAGAGGCAAAGAACTGTACAGAAGAGCTTCAGGTGGGAAAGGTGGACTGGCAGTCCGGCAGCGGATGGGGAAGTCAGGGTAAAAAAGCTTCGCTTTCGACCAGTCAAGATGCCTCGTTCTCGTCCTTCTTCTCGTCCTCTCCTTCATCCAGGTCCTCATCTCGTCCTAGCCTCGTTCTCGTTCTCGTTCTCATTATTGCTCTCCCCATAAGCGCCGTGATTATTGTGCCCGTTCTCGCTTTGTCCACCATAAGTGCTGTCTGCAGCTGCGAAGGCAAAGAGGTTTGACGGATTGGGTGAAGCTTGATGGTACTTCACTCGCACGGCAAACTGCAGGCTGCGGCGGCATATTGCTTGCGAGTAATAAACCATAAACCCCGTCCGCTTTACATGCCTGCGTGGTTCTCCGGCAGGCACCTCTGCAGCCAGTCCGGGATCTCCTTGGCAGTAACATTATGAGCTTGATTGGCTGTGCTGCCGCAATGCTTTCCGCATGATCAAGTAGTCTCTAATTGCCGTACGGTGCGCTCTAAAAACTTGGAAGATTTTGCTCTATGGCTGCGAGCTCGTTTGTTGGGCAGCTCATTCGCAGCGTCCCGGACCGCGGTCTCCAGCCTTGTGACAGTTTTGACAATGTCTTCCACTGTTTTTGCTGGCATTCCTGGCCCTCCCTTTTGAGTTCCTTTCCGTGCTTGTAATGGCTCTCTTATGGTGAATTTGATCTCGTCATTTTCACCGGAAGCGACTCCGCGCTTAGCAGGCTGAATGATGAATGTATTTCAACACCGCAGCTAGCAAGCCCAACGTAGAGTCCTGCACTCGTTCCTCACGTACCTTGCCGCGGGGAGGGGGAGGGGGGGGGGGCACTGGCGAGCATTTGTACTGGAACAGCGCCTCCCATAGTGTTGTTCCGTCAGTTACTTAGAAGGACGAGCGGCGCCCTGAATGTAACAGCGTGCCCTCCGTCGCTCGGGGACTTGAAGCATGATTTCAGCTTACAGAGGAAGTCTGAGCTTGAATGGCTACAACCCTCGTTTGACGGCACTCTTAATTAGAATGTTGAAATATTAATGTTCGCTTTTTTCCCCTCTGTGTTTTTCGTGGGCTTGGGACCACGCCTTTCGCCGAAGCGTAAGGGCCACATTACAAAAAAGGATGACGTCTCCTGAAAAATCGTGTAGGAACGAAGCGACAAGGAGACCCCAACCGAACTACAAAGTGACTTCGGTCGACTTCACGGACGGTGTGCGCAGAGCGGGGATGAAGGCATGCCCATCTCCATGAACGCGGACCGAAGGTGGGCGTTCAGGCTAGCTCTTCGCCGGACTAGGTAGGAATTAAGCCGTTTCCCGTTTATACCGCGGCGTG